GAAATAGATTTAAATTCGTTGCAGGGGTTTCTAGCACCAAAGCTTCATATTTGGACATTGTTTGGAGGTATGCCTTACTTTGCCTTATTAACCACATCCAATAACAAATGTTGAATGACTAAAACATCGATTCTACAGAATCCATAGCAAGAACTGTTACTGTTTTTTCTTTTTATTTTTTTCTCCTTTTGTTTTGCATGATGAATGATGAAAATAAACCAAGTGATGCTACATCTTATCTTTCAAATTAATATTCAATAAATTGTGTTAAGTTTGCCTTTCATATGGCGAACGTGGATGACAACCCTGCAATTTACACTACGGAAAATTTTCATATGCGGGCAGGCCCGTATATGAACTAGCGCCACCCACCGTCCAACTTTGTTGGACGGTTGTGATTGAAAACCGAACTTTCAATCATCATTGTTGGTAGGCCTGCATATTGGCAGTGTCCTTTAGCTAATTTTTTACGGCGTGTTTGTTTTTCTCAAAGTATTCTTTCAGATTTTGGAGGCAGGATCACTTTGATTAAAGCTTGTCTATCCAATTTACCTATATATCAGATGTCGCTATTGCAGATTCCCCCTAGGGTGGCCAAGAAGATAGAAACTCTGATGAGAAATTTCTTGTGGGGATCTTTTGATAATTCTAAAAAGTACCATCTCCTGAGGTGGGATAGGGTGTGTACACCTAGGAAGGATGGTAGACTTGGCTTAAGGCGTGTTACTCTGGTTAACCAAGCTCTCTTCTCTAAATGGTGGTGGAGAAGCTTGATTCTTAAAGACCTGCTGCGGTACCAAGTCATTGCTGCGAAGTATAGTATGGATTGAATTCAGATGTGGGTGGAAGTGAGAAGTGGGTCACAGGGTATGTCAGTTTGCTGAAAATCCATTAACTCTTGCCGGGCCTTGATCTATAGGGATATTCGGTGGTGTCTGGGTAGCGGTCGTGACATTTTCTTTTGCCACCATAAGTACATTGTGTCTATGCCTTTGAAATATCTCTTTCCAGCTGTTTTGCAACGCATGAATAACCCCAATGCTACTGTAGCTGAATTGTTTAAATGCAAGGGCAGTCAGGTTAGTTGGAATATCAATCCTCCTTATAGCCGGGTTCCTGATATTATTTTTTAGGAATTTGTGGGCTGCAATCTTTACTACATGATGTCTATATTCCACATAATGCCTCTGATGTGATTATTTGGGAGATTCAGCCTGATGGTCAGTACTCAGTCAAGTCCATGTATAACCTTTTGTTCCATGATCAATGGAGGTGGTCAATGCTTAAGATTGCCCCAATTTGGAAATGGCCTTTACCTCTAAAATCCAAGCTTTCTTATGGCTGGCTATGCAAAATAAGGTGCTCACCACTGACAACCTTATCAAGAGAGGTAAAATTCTACCTAATGTATGTTTGCTGTACAAAATGGATGCTGAAACAGAGTTGCATTTGTTTCTACAATGCCCATTCACCTTTAAAATTTGGCAATAATTTTTTGATAAACTTGGGATTCCCCTCGTCATGCTCACCGAGGTTGTAGGGATTATCTCTAACTTGTCTGTGATGCTCCCCAAGTTTGGGCTGGTCATTTGGCAGATTGCTCGAGGCCTGATATTTACAAAAGTTTGGAAAGAAAGGAATCAAAGAGTGTTTGATAGCATTGATCATCCTTTTGAGAGACTGTTGGACAAAATTCTACATGACCTTTGGCTATATTGCTCTATTACCAAGGAGGGGCTAGATATTTTGGAAGTTGATACCAAGAGGAATTTACCAATTCTTTTCTATTTAGGGACCTTCAAGTGTAGACCAAAGGGTGGTGGCCCTTTTGGAAGGTACCTTTAAACTCAACTTCGACAGAAGCTCTTTTGTGAATGCAGGCCCTGCAGGCAATGGTGGTGTTGTGAGAGATTGGAATGGGGTTATGGTTTTTTCCTATGCGGGTCAGTGAGGGGTCACAACAGCCAATTATGCTGAAATGTTGGCTCTCCTAAATGGTCTTAAGG